TGTTTGTTACAGTTGTTCAGTCACTTGAATAAGTCTGCGGCCGATAACATACTGTTCCTCTTTACCAACGCCCGGTCAACACACTACGCACCGGGAGATTCGGGACCGGTATTGGAAAGTATTTTAAAAGACTTAAGGGAAAGGCCCCCTAATGTGGACATCAAATACAGTACTAATACTATTTATTGCTTCGATAACGAGTCATTCCGTTATCTCGTGGCTACTGTTCCCCCGAATAATATGAAGTTCAGTGAAGATAATAAAATTGATTATAATGCCAGTTGGGACAGGTATGTTTAATATTTACAGTATTTAATATTTGGGTTAATAATTAAACAAATTATTTTGAATCTCTCTCTCTCTCTCCAGATCTGTGAAAGAGTGCAAACGTATGTTTGATTACATCCGTACACTCCGGCCCTACAATATCCGGGACACCTTATCTCTCAATAGCGCCAAACAGGTTATCCTACTATTGAGTCAACCATTGGCTGACATCGCGAAGAATATCGCCGACAATCAGATCCAATGCGAGGCCCGTAAGCGCCGTATACTTGAGTGCGAGTCCGACATAAATAAACTTCAAGTCGAGCTATACGTCCCACAAGTTGATATCATATCCACACCTTTACCCCACCCTAAGCTCGTATGCACTGACACTTCGTGCTGTACGCGCCGACATGTTCAGGGTACTAGTGTTACCCAGTACGATAACGAATGCCAATATACTACCTTGATGGAATATGAGAATGAGCAATTTAACGTGGGAATTGGCTATGGTAAGTTTTTGTTTGGTGCTAGCCAATCCCAAACTAAAAGTTCACAAAAGGTAATGTGCCTAACCTGTGGGCACGGTACCCAATCGCACCGGTATATACGTTACGAGAATAAGGTACAACACCGGCAGGTCAGGGATGAGACCAAACAACAGCGCATTACTAGCGTGTCTGAGGCGGCGGAGGCTCAGAGGTCGCAGTTGGAGGAACTGGAGGTTAAGATCGGGGAACTGACCCGTGAGTCCAATATTATTGTGAAATGTATGGCACGGTTCGCCTACTTTTTGGCTCAAAACTCACTGACCCGTATGGATGACCATTTTGAAAGGCATATTCAACAGCTTATAGATGATGAAGTAAATACCGGTGCTATCAGTGATGATGATAGTAGCAAGGTCATTGTTGGCAAACTTAAACAACTACTTGATAGCTATAATTGCGAAAAGCAACTAATAATCAATGCCTTGAAGTCTATGAATGCAAATGAGTTTAACATATCGTTGGATGAGATTCAGGGTATGATTAGTGAGTTGTGTGGTCTCAAGTGGACGGGTAGTACAATTGTACGGCTAATGGAGATGCAACGGTGCGTACAGGTACGGGGACACACCAGGGTTAATGTGGTGTCCCATTCTGTTCCCGATAAGGCTGCTGTATTTAGCAAGCTAAATGTTTACTAATTTAAAGTTTGAAATATTTTATCAATTTTGTGTAATATGTAACATTAATATGACGTATAGTACTTTGTATATTAATAAACAATTTTTGTTCAAAAATATTTTATCAACTAAAATAACATACTTTCAATAATTATAGTTAAATAATGTCTTCTATATAATAAATATAAATGCTGAATTATAACTCAAATAATTAAAAATTTAACATCAATTTTGTTATTTATCAATAAAAATGTATAATGCAGCAAGTCTAAATTTTTAATTACATAATAGATATAATTTAATCCAAAAGAAATATTTTATAAAAATTGTATATTCAATAAAACAATTTAAATAATATATAATAGTATTAATTAAATATTGTATTATACTAAAATATTATAATTTTTGTTATTTTTACAAAATTATATTATTTTAAAATTAATATTTTTTATTAAAATTACTGTAGTTAAATATATTTAAATTATTATTTTATATCTGTTTTATAACTTACAAATTGAATATAAATAGCTTAATTATATTTATCATTAGTCAACATCTCAATTTTAAGCAATTAAAAAAATAGTTTGTGTTAAAAATGTTAATTTTTCAAATAATTAAAATAAATAGATATAAAATAGATATTTGTAATTCAAGCTATGCAATTTTTCATATTAATCTAATGAATGATTGGTTATGAAATTCAAATGAAATGCATGTTTTTGTAAATAAATTTTATTTTCATTACAATATATGTCAAAATAAAAGCAAATTTAACAAAATTGATCTGATCAATAAGGAAATATAATATTTCAAAACCTATTAAAATTATTTTGTATTAATTTTTTTTCATTATACAAGGTTTTTAATTACAGTTACTGTATGTTACGTGACATAATTTGTCTGTTTAAAATATCAATGCCAAAACAAATTCCGATTGCATTACTAATATAAACATTTACTTAATAAAAATTGAGATTTACTTAATGATTATCCTTGCATAATTTACTTTCACCTAACGATGATTCTAATGTTATGTTAATAATATATTTAATAAAAATATTTATAACTTAAATTATGCATTTTAAACATTAAACTCAATACAGTTTGAATTTATAAGCACATCGATGTTGGGTCTCATATTTTATTAGCTGTTACCTCATATTAAATCAACAAATATGTTATGAAATTAATGTGAAATCGTGTTTTTGTAAATAAATATCTTAATATGAGATAAACAAAATTCTATGAAATTGATCAAGATGATAAGGTAATATAAGCTTTTATAAGATACAAATAGTATATTATATTAGAAAATTTTGCCGTCCCTGTGACATTAGTGTATTACGTGACATAAGGTATGTTTGTTTAGCACCTAATTCTAGTATAATTCATGTATAGTAACATTCAAGAACCTTGTTTACTTTCATTCCCAACTTAAATATATTATTACCAAATAATACAGTATTTTATTTCAACAGCCTACGCTTATACAATTCGATACGGTGAGATTTTGATAATAAAAACATTTTCAATTATTATATCTCTTAAGTTTTATCCAAAAGGCATCATTGGGGAAACTATAGATAGTCGATATTAATCGAAACCTGTACATTTTAATCTTATACTACGTGCTCAAAGTTGCAAAACTTTTCAAACTTAGCTTGCTTACTCATACAAAATATGATT